ATTCCAACTCTTTAATCAATACTTAAATATATTTTATGACTTACATTTACAGCTATATTACAAAGTAAGTTTTTACGCAGTTGTCTAATGTTATCTATAAACTAATGATGTTTATGCCGACTTACCATAAATTCGTTAACTTTTCAACAAAGTTTAGCTTCACTTTAGCCTAAGAGACTAGTGGCCTTACTCTTCCTCCTGACGATAGGATATTGTCAGTATTCAAAATCGTACTATAGGAGATATCAAAGAGGACATACTAGACAGTAGACTCATAGCTTTAGTTTTATATTGTAATTCTATAATTCCTCATTACAAATTTGGATTTGTAACAAGCTAGCATGCATAGAATGTGCTGTACATAACGTAAAAGCTTTTCGAAATTAGCCGTAGAAATTTAATTATTTCAATAATGTTCCACGAGTAAAAGAAAAGTTAAAATTTAAAAAGGAGAAACTACGTAACAAAATGTATGCGTAAACCAGGTGCTACTTTTCATTTATTGAAAGTATTTGCGTGCATCAAAATTATATTATGTTTTGATGATTTTATTACAGTGTAAAAAAAGAAATGGTCGAAAACTTTGTTACTTCTTTCTGCATATAGATGGAGAGATCCTGCTATATTAGTGTAACAACAGCAGTTGAAATGGATGCTACAATACTTTTATGCTAGCTCATTACATGTTTTAGTCCAAGATAAATCTGCTAGTTATTTATTCGCCAAAAGTAACGGGTAGATTCAGGTTATGTTTGAGATTGTTATTAATATAAATCATAATAACGTCATGAAATTACGTAAATAGTCCGTTAACTAATTGCTTGATATTTTCAGAAATACACATGAAATACATAATCGCTACTTGACTTTATCGCTGTTATACAGAAAAATGCGGAAGAGTAGGCCTATTTTCTCCAATTTTTATTTACAATAGATTTCTATTTAATGCTTCTACTAAATCGTTTCTGAAATGACAATCAGATTGCAGTCTATTTACATACAGTAGCATATAATACGTATATAATACATATAATAAGAGTATGGATGGATATATTCAATGGCACTTAGAATAACGCCAAGGACACCATTATCCTTACAATATCAACTTTAATCGTATGCCTGTTTGGCAGTGCGTGCTATTTTGTTGTATTAGTTGAATTAACTGGCAACATGTAGCTAAGCTTATCATTAGAGATGACTTCAACAGCTTGTCATTGGCTCTATTTAGATATAGTAGTAATACGGAATGATAAAACTACAATATTACTGTTATGTAATTCTATAATCACTTTCTAAATATTCGAAATCGGTTATGATTTTAATTCTTACCATATTCTATTTACAGATTTTATTATCAGCTTTATTCTAAGTGATTAATAAGTTTATAACAGAAAAGTAGAATCCAATTTCATGAATTAAGTCTACAATTAAACTATGTCCCTTTCTATAAACAGACATTAAGTGTTTTCTGAAAGTAGTTTATAAAATAATATGGATAGAAAAGAATTTGAGATAGTTTCATAGCTAGTTTATATTTAATTATTTATTTTTGCATCATAAGTTTACAGTACTAAGATTGTTGAAAGCTTTAATTTAGTTATCAATAAAGGAAGTAAAAGTATGCTAACGCTTTGATTTATTGGATTAGAAAAACTTCGTCTTAAACAAAAGTATGATCGCAATCTGTACATGATGGTATTTTTATTTTCTAGACATGAATAGCCTACTATAGAAGTTTATATATAGAATCTTTTAAGAGAAATAATCTACCAATTAATGGAACCTTAGATTGTATCCGAAAGTACGATTCTATAGATTTAATGGGCCTTGATAAGATGAATACGGAAATGAGTCATAACCGACGAACTAGGACAATGAAAAGCATTTAGATTCAACTTTACCAGCTAAAATTATCACTAATTTGCTGGTATAATTTCTGAAATAAGATCAGACATATTAAAAGTAAGATGATATGGATCAATTATGAAATAGTTAATGGCCTAGTTAGGCATAATTTACTATTTAGGAACAGTTATAATGAACTCTTCACCTACTTTAAAGTTTGCATTACTTGATCAGTCAATAATTTCTCAAATTTCCTTTCGATAGAGTCCAAATAAACATGATATCCAAACATTATAAAATACTCTTCTTCATATTAATATTAAATATACTTTACTATTACGTAACACTTTCTCTAGAATAGATATAATGATTACCGCAACAAATATGCAACGGGTGATTGATATGAGCTATACTAGAATTTATATACTGAAATGGTCATACAAAAACACTGTTGCTGTAAGATCTTAGCTAGCAACATCATGTAGAAAAGGACTAAAAAGTAGAGTCCTTTGTAGTTTTTAGTATGTAATTAGTATTATTTTACTATAGAAATTACCTAGAAAGTGATAGTGTCTTTAAGTTTTACCCTGCCAAATCATCATGTTGCCATCTTTTCTTCTTCATTATTTTACAAGGTATTATATAGATTACTATACAAGTAGCCCTATAGAACAAATGCCTAATCTAAAGAAAGGGCGTTTGATCGTCTATTCAAATTGTAAAGAAATTCGACTTAGTAGCAAAACCCTATCCTTAGAGAAAGGGGATTTATAACATGACGATAAAGTACTGTAATGTAGTCTATGATCGTACAGTTACAGTACAATCTGATGCTAAAACATCAACTGTCAATACTCGCGAATACTAAGCGATACTAATGTCAGAAAAGTAGTCGTAATAGTCATATAAGTTCTTTTTGATAAGCGATTACTGTGATCTTTATAAAAACCGAATTTTTCCGGATTTGTGTCCGATATAGTTTTCGGATTCTGGGACCGGTCGGGTTTATTTTTAATTTATGTCTGAATTATAATTTTTCTGTTTTAATTTTTGGATTTTTGTTCATGAAAAATATCGTGAGAGTTGATTTTTGAGATTTGGACTTTTTATTATGAATTTGAAACTTTGGAATTTTATGACGTGACTTGAAGTCACATTAGGAGATTTAGTGAGGAAAATAGAAAATAAGATGGAAATTGGCAGAGGTTGTGTTGATTGTTAGGTAGTTAGAATGTTGTTTTTATGACTAAATCTTGATGTTTAAAGGTTGGTTTTTAGACTTTTATAGTGTACTAATGATAGAAATTATGTTAGAAATGAAGTTTGATGTATTTTTATAGTTAGCTTGTTAGTTTTATTGTGTTTTGTAAGGAAATCGTAGGGTAAATTGTGTCTGAACTTCGAATAATTTTTGTTTTCTTAAATGGTGCAAAGTAGTTTTGTAAAACGGATCTTAAGAGCGATTGGTAGCAAATGTTTAGTTTTAAATACCTCTAACGGCTCTACGAAGCCTATAAATGATAGTGCAATTAGAAAACTTAGGGGGAGAGTAGAAGAAGATTTTATTTGAAGAACTTGTTGAATTTAAAAGGCCTTCGGGGTCGAATTGTCGTAAGATAAAACGTTCTTCTTTTTTGAAAGGTTGTTTGGTCGTTGACAGTTTTTAAGTCTGTCATTTATTTTAATAATACTTAAAGCTAAGCATTTGTAAGGTTGTTCGGGTTATACTTATCTCCATTTTTGTTTTGTAATAAATTTTTGTTCGGTTATTTCCCCAAATTTTATTTGGTGTCAAAGTATTAGCATTAAATCGACCGGAGTGCAACGAAAGTAGAATCAAAGTTCGTTAAAGTTTCGTAGCTTGATCTCTACACTTGTCATTTCATTACAATCGGATTGAGGAAATATCTTCACTGCTTTTTACAGAGGAGGATAGTCTAATTTATCTTATAACTTAAAACAACTTCATTAGATGAAATTAAATCAAACTTAAATATTATAAAGACATTTTCGAAGTATTATAAAAACAAACTGCCCAGGAGGGTCCTTTGTCGTGCATCCGAGTTAAACAGTATAGGGTAAAATTGGGTTCGGTTTAGATATTTTTTGAAATTATCCGCTACCTCGGGTGACGGTGATCGAAAATGCCAAATTAAGGACCCTGCTGCCCAGTATTACACCGCTAGATTACTCAGAATATTTTTAACTTTGGTTAGAGATAAATTTAAATCTTTTCGAAATCAATATTGTCTCTTCCTTTGAAATAATTATTACGTTTTTGTTTCATTAAAAATAATTAAGATCACGTATTTAGTAAATTTATGTTTGAATTTAGCTGCATTAATGCGAATTTACATTTGCGTAATTATACTTAATTAGGTCTAAATATTAAGTTTACTTAACCTTTGTATCTCATAGCGGTGTTTGGTAAAGATATGAAATACGTTTACTCTTATGATACTTAATTCAAAATCAATATAGCGGCATTATGATATTTCCCAGTCGAATTATTTCTTCGCCGATCAAGTTTTACAATTTTTACATTAATTTAACGCGTATTAGCTTAAGTCCCGTTACTTAAAGAGCGTTCTAATATCTGAACTTCTAAACTATCTTATTGACCGCTCTGTACTGAGTAAATCGTTAATGGTGCCTGAATACATTACAATACAGCTAGAAAAGATTTCCAATTATATTAGTGATAATTTCCTAAAATCAACACTAATCAAGTACCTATAGACTGCCAAAGAAGTCAATTTTAGGGTTTAAGTAATTTTTCTGCAGGTTACTCTTCCCAAAACGACACTATAAGTAGGAAATGCGCTATCAAAAATATTGTGCATGCCATTAATAGACGCCTGAAGTCGATTTCTTTTCTAACGAGCCGCAAATTAAGCGCAGAATATTAGTAATAAAGCTCTTGATTGTTTCGCATATACCTTAATATATTTTAAGGATTAATTTAATTTAATTATCTAATATTAATGTTCTCTAATAACAGGGTAGGAAACCAAACTCAGTTTTCATATAAATTACAAAACTGAAGATAATAACCTTGTATGAGAATTCTATATTGGTTCCTGTAACATCTTGCGGAGCTTTGATAGTCATAGCACGTATACGGGATCAGAGCTTTTATTGGAATTGACGTAGGATTAGACATGTAAGATTAGGTTAAATGAAGACTAGACAAGAAAACGGTCATTAAAATCATACTTATAAACTACTTACATTCTAAATGTGAGTTTATCATAACAGGACATAGTCGATATACATTATCCAGAAATACATCTTAATAGTAGCACTACATAGATCGTATTATTCATAACGTTACTATTGAAGAATATATCTTGATATATTACAATAGTAATATTGTGAGCACAGCATATGACAGTTCCAGATTTGAATGTATATTCATACGTAAATAAAACCGCTAAACCATTCATGATTAAGTAAACCCATGTAAAAGTCAATAGATCAGTTTTCCTTTGCACAGACTACAAGATAAATATCTCGTTTAGGCTAGGAAAATTTCATTAATTTTGGTAGAAAATAACCTGACGAATATTGTATGTAAAACCTGCCAGTTTTACCACGAAATTCGATATTATGATTTCATCATGTTACCATAAACTGCAACAATAGCGCCTATTGCTACTATGACGACAGCGAATATACTACCAAAAACTATTATAATAGTGTTAGTATATGCATTAGTATCGAAACTGCTATAGACGATCCTGTTATTCAATGGTTGTACAGGTCGATAATTTTTTTCGATATACTTAGAACTTGATTTATTTCGAGCTGTGGCATAAAGCTTTCGGAATTGATTCATCTAGGGCACAAAAAAGGCTATAGACTTAGATAATAACAATCGATTTCGCAACTAGCCAAAATTCTTGCTACTGTTGAATGAGTTTATATTTCTTCTTCTAGTTAAGGACTAAAATTACCTGCTGGCTTGATATAGTAATCGGTTCTTCCATCACAATCCATCGTACTGATTCTTCACATAGCGGTGTTGTTAACGACCCAGGAAATGTAAAGTATTTGCTCATATCTTTAGGTAAGAAAGACGAGTAACTAAAACCATTGGCAGTTACTGTTTCGTCTGTAAGGTTGATGTTGACCAGATGATCCAATCAGGACAGTGAACATTTTCAATATCGACCATAATTTAATTAAAAATTATTTGTTAGTAAATAAGAATCGCCAGTACTACAATCTTAAGTTATGGAAGAGAGTAATATTAAAATTTTAGTCGCTAGACTTGCTGATAGCTAAAATACAAAGTGCAGAAACTTCTTGAAATATGTATTCAATTTGTAAGTTGGTAAAAGAAACAGAATGGAATACCTTTCCTATCAACAAATATTCGTACATGAGTTTTTAAAATCTCACCTTTATACTGAAGTTTTTGCATATATTGTAATAGCCAACTAAACCCTGCACTGCCTTCTCCGATCTGTAAGAAAAGATGTTCAATTTTTGTTTTATTGATGTTATTTTGCTGTACCTATGTACGTTAATATTCAATAGAAATTCTTGCCATCTGCTACGTATACTACATGTATTGCTTTGGATTAAGTTACCTTAGCAAAAATGCCAATCACAGCTAACCCATCGGGCTTAGGGATTGCTTGAAGAACGTTTTGATATTTAATGTTGTAGTGTACAATGTGAATCTAGCACAGTATAAAAGTAATGGAAAATACATTGGTTAGCCTTTCAGATTGTAACGGTCATAGCTATCCAGAAACTTGAAATAACCACCTAACTATAGGTTCTTATTACAGATATAGATCTATGTTCTTGCTATTAAGCATTACTGATTTTTTGTAAACTTATTTCTTATGCATAAAGTAACAGCAATAATAATTCTCTCATAGATGAAAATGCCACTGGTTAAATTAAAAAGGATTTTAATTGTATACATCATTAGAGTCTCCTAACTGACATAGATTTATGTTATTGTTTTTTGAATAACTGGTTTGTTTGCAAGAAGGTTTGCTAAGTATAAATTAAATGACAACGACTTTAATAATAGTTTGAATGCTATTCGTAACAATAAATTTTTTTTCACCCTATAGTACTAATAGATTCTTATTATCGATGTAGACTTATATTCTGGCGTTTAGCAGTAGAATTTAATTTGTTGATGATTTAGTTAGATACAAAGTAATTGTAATAATATGGCATGTATACTCTAGCAGGATATTAATAGACTCGATCAGAAAGCTATAGAGCCAATAAGACATTAGCTACATAGAGTTGATATAACGAAAATGTTACCTCGATAGGATAATATTTGTTATCAATAGCATTTTCAGACCCGTAATTATCCGAAGCACCCCAATGAAAATGCAAATGATGAGCTCTGTAAAAAACTCCACTATTTAATGGATCAACTAAAACTGGACTATAGTCGATTGCAGGTTGTATAAATATTGATTTGCCAATATTTGTTAAAGTAGTTTTAATATTAGGCTGAGGAGAAATGTAGTGCGAAGCTTGTATATGCTCTAACTTTGGATTAAAAGTGGTTCGTAGCGAATCAATATTAATTGGAGACTGTCTTTTTCCAAGACAAATCGGATAATACTGGCCCCACTTGGAAGGACCTATTCAAGAAATTATATTATAGTAAGTACAATATTAAGAAAATATTATAGCTTTGTTCTGTTAGATAACAGTACCTATCATCATACTAGTAAGAAATAGCTTATTTTCACTAATAATGATACACTCTCACCATTATCAGAGCCATATCCCCAAACGAATGTGCTGCCTAGGTTAGCAAAAATTAATTTTATATCGATAGTTAATAACATCAATCACATAAAAATTACAGCGATGATATGCTGCTTATTTAGATAGGGATGTTACGCAGATATGAATTATGGTAGTTTGTCAATTTTCAAATTAAAATTTTTAACCTAGTAAATTGACGATTTTAACACTAAAGTAATAGATATTCGAAATTAGCATCAATTGAATAACTTACTCGTTGCAGGAACGACTGGATTTATGAGTTGCAGGATTATCGCAATGAAAATGACATACGCGCGCATAGTTTAATCTAGATATTTATCGAAAATAGCTGAACCTCGTGTCGGTAGCCTAATAAAGACGTTAAAGCATTGCAAAGCAAGAAACGAATAAAGAATGGATATTCTGGAATGTAAAACTTATTATTAAAGAAATAAAGCTCACTACAGATAGGATCACATGCTGGGTTTGTTTAGTGTATAAGCACATCAAAGTCATAGGTAATTGTACGATGGATGGTTCCTATTGGGTGCATAACGGTTAATTAGCTATAGTCTGTAGATGATCTCTAGCGAACTCATAATGATTGTTGATGTGATAGAACATCACCAACGAATTCATCAATTTGAGATTGTTTTATAAAGTACAATAAGAATCTGATATTTCCGAATATGAGGTTCATTCATTATTTATTGATGATAAAACTCGTTACAGGTAGTATTGTTTACCAGGCTGAGCTATAAACGTTTTAAATGTAAGAATGGATGATGTAATAGGTGATCTCCAACGGACTATATTGTTTTATAATATACAATAAGAATCTGATATTTCCGAATATACAGTAGACAGTATTGTTTGCCAGGCTGAACTATAAATGCTTTAAATACAAGAATGGATGATGTAATAGATGATCTCCAACGGACAAATGATTAATTGATGGTTGATGAAGTAATAGATGACCACCTACGAATCTACAAATTAGATAATGCTTTACAAATATGACGTGCGATAACTTTTTTTAAATTATAATACAACCATCATAGTTACATGGGTTGTTTATGGCGACCATAGTACACAGCCAAGTAGTTCTCTTGCTTACAATTACAACAGATCTACATATAATTTATACTTAATTTGTACGCAGTCTGGATAATATTATGCTACTAGTTATGATTATTGTACTGATAACGACTCCTATGTACCTTTAAGCAGAATACTACAGTATTTTCTAGCTCTTAATATGTATTTAGGATCAATCTTCACACCGGCTAGAATATGTACTCTTGTAACTACTAGTACTTAGCGGTGAGAATTTATACTATACTAGTGCAAACTCCCGTCGCTTTGCAGACGGTTTACGATAATGTGCTCATTTAACAGATAGTATTACCATTTGATAGACCTACCGTGACGTGTTACGTCAGACATGCAGATTGTTAGTATTTAGTTAGATACCTAATTTATAAGAGAGCTCAAAGGTCAATTCATGTTATGATCATGGTTACTTTCATATTATATGCATGCTCCAGCGTATTTTAAAGCAGAACTCAAAGTTTTACTAATGTAGATCTAAGAATATATGACGGCTGATATTGTTTATCCGTATTAACTTCTTTGTGTACAGTATATATATATAGGTTACGGCCAAAACCCAACAATTTAAGGGAAATTACCGTATTTCGGACTTTGCCCGCAGTTTTGGTCTTAGTGAAAGCTGTTAATCTGTGTTTAACTGCCCTTGGAAGCAGTTTCTGTGTTACAAAAGTGGCTGTAACATAAGTACAGTATAAATATAATGAAGCGTCTGCTACATTTTATTCAGTTCACTTAGTTTAATTTTATGTTACCAACAGAATCGTAATAAATAATTGATGCCCAATAATTTACAAAGACATAACGTTCAATAAAATTACATCCATAAAACAGGCGTGAATTTTACACTACAAGATAGATTATTTAATAAAATACGGTAAAATAAAACCGACATAAAGACCGTACAGCCAAGAATTATATCACAGATGAATTGCTAAATTAGTAAACAACTATTATTTAAGTTGCGGGATACAATTCACAAGGGAATTTTAACAATTCACGAGTGAATTAAGTAAGAGTCAAGCTGTGATAAAATAGTGCAAGGCCCAATTATATATTCGTAACGAGGATAAAATATGCAAGCAATTCAGTTGCAATATGGCTTAAGTATTTTACAATACTATACAATGTTAGATATTTATATCTTTTGGCTATCTCTTTTAAGGTTATTCATCAAAGTCTACGTTTATCATTGTGCGTAATGGATAACGGTTTTAACTAAATCTACAACGAATTAGTTTACGAAATCGTGTACAGTACCGTAATATATCGAAGATAACTTTGAGATTTTATTAGTTTAACATCTTCATTGTAAAAATACTAATCTGTTTAGTAAATTTTAGCTTCAAAAGCCAATAGTACAATAAAAACTTTTTTTATAGCAAAGCCTACTTCTGAAATTGTTAATTGGCGAAATTCACAGCTGATATTCGAAAACAATAAATCGTGTAGTTTTGTACTAAAATTCGTTGTCGCCAATGCAAAGATACATGCCATATTCCGTACGGGTACAAACTCCGTCCAATGAAAATTTGTATTTGTGGAATGTGCCATTGATGCATATAACTAAAAAAATTTGATTCTATTTCAGTGGATAGTTTACTGAGTCCATACAAAAAATTGAAATCGAGCATTTTATTACCTACTACAGTATGGTCACTGGTAAAGGCACATATACAAGCACATTCTAAAGGAATGGTAAAATTAGTAAAATCCCAAACCGAATCTACGTATTGCCCATATAGTCCAATTTTAGATAATCTACCAAAATCAAGTAATAAATTGCGTTACGGTTATATAATCTTATGTTATATATAATACGCATTTAGGCTATATATTTATATAAATTAGGGTACAATTGGGTATTCTTACGCAGATCTCCGATTTAAAGAAGTGAGATTAAGAGCAAAGATGTGGACTGTTCCTTTATCGCTAGATGCACACAGGTATTCCGAATTTAAACTAAAATTCATACTAAAGAATAAAACGAAATTTCTTAGTGATAACTTTAATTCTACACAAGATCAATTCGTATAGCGTCTAAACTTTTTCATTCTCAACGATAGCACATAGAATGCCCGACAAGCTGTGGCACATAAATTTACCAATATAGTGTAGCAGGATCTAATCCACGCCTGAATTCAAATAACTTTTGCTGAGAGGAAGTATCAAATATTCGTATTAGGGTCCCCTGTTAGATTGAATTCATTTTGATTGTTAGGTTAAATTTGATTTGAGTTAATAATATTTCTATTAGTTGCTATATGTATGATGCATGATAGCTTAGCATGAATGGAATTCAACAAAAGTTAAAATATCAATAGATACCTTCACTGACGCAGTCGCTACACGTGAACCCTGATGATTTAAAGCTATACAGGCCAAAGCATTTTCGTGAGCGTTAATGACCGGCTGATGACTCTTGTCATCATCTCGATGTTGCATCAAATCCTATAATGGAATACAGGAAGATGGTAACTAATGCAATTTTTAAGAGACAATATACCATAGGCTACGTTATTTTACTGTGAAGTTGGTGTACTATCGATTTTAGTCAGAACTTACAATTAGTTGCAATCTACCGGTTATCTTGCCAGGAAAAACCAATACTGCATGATTAGTACTAGAAGAGATTTCACAAAGACCTAAAATAATGATATTAAATTAAGAATTTATACATCGTATTCAATTACATATGCTCTAATATAGTGGCATTACAATGACATCAAGATTAGTGTGAGAACATTATACCGTTTGGGTTTTCTGCTGTAGCAAACGAATAAAGTAATTTGCTGGTATTAGGAAATGAGAATACGTATAGCATCTTACTTAATACAACAATAATCCTAAAACAAAAAAAATTGGATAAGATGGCAAATTAGCGGCGTTATACGCATTCTATGCTTAACGGTTAATGAGGTACCAATGAAAGGATCATCAATATCAATGGTTCATACCTATTTCGTCTCATTCGTACTGCTAAGACTGACGATTTAAAAGAGTACCGTAATACGAATTGCCTTTTAAGATCATCCCAAATTAAAACTATACCATAAAGAAGTATTAATAGCAATTAGCTCACATTATATATATATGTGTACTCGCATACATACAGTATATTGCATTTATCAGACGTAATTAAAGTAAAGTATATTGTATATGCATTGTACGATGCCATTTATTTTATCGAAATTAGCCTAAATTCGAGTAGTAGATACCATCATTAGGTGAGTATTGAGGAAATAAGCCACCACCAACAACGGCCAATAGATTGCACCTGTAAAGCAATTGAGTTTGGCTGACACTGCCAACTTGGTCAAATTCTAGAAGTTTAAGGATAAAGAATCAAAGTCACTCTATATCTGCCTAGAATAGATAGCAGTTAGATGATTTGTACTGAAGTAAATCGCTAAGTAACATAACGAGGTTGATGTGCATCATAATATTACAGGATGTCTATAATCTTTATAAAATGACAAAAAACTTTACCATAATGAAGTCATTACGTTCGCATAATCTTAACGATTGAGTACTATTAATTTAAATCGCTACGCAAGTGCATATTCTTTATAATTATAATTATTACCTATAGCGAAATACATGCATAGAATATGAGTATTTATGATGTATCGTGGTTAAGTGTGTAAACAACAAATGAAGGATAGAAATTTCCCACATTCAGTACACAAACTTGCAAGGAATGTAAAGATGTATTTTACAGCTATTAAGAAGTATAAGGGTATAAAAATGAGTTCTATTCTAATTATAATATGCTTATCTAGCATATACTATCTAAATTATAATATACCACCACGAAGCTATTGAATAGATTTATTACTCCTGAGAAATGAAAATAAGTTTAAATTTTCATTATTAACTCTAGTAGCATAATGAATACTGCATCATTGAACAAATTTATTACCTAGTCTTGTCTTTTCAGTCAATGGTGAGATGTTATATACACGAAAACCAGTATCCAAAGAGCATGCAAAGCAGTCTAACAGAAGATCCAAAATACAATTTATGTCATTAGTACCCTTCATTATCAAAGACAATATTTGTTATGATGATTACAGGGATCATGTATAGAAGACACACACATATGTAAAAGCTATACTATATTCATATTCAGAAATGATACTTCTATAAAAGTGGAATGCATTGATAGCCGGGATTAATATTGATGGATTAACTTTGGAACGTACGCGTATTACAATTTTCAGAGTCGTTGTAACATAATATTAAATATATCAATCATAATATTGTCAGCACTTTGGATTTTCCGCATGTGATAGACACAGTTATTCGATTCTGATGAAGATCAAGGATTAAGAATGATCTGTAATTGTGTCCAGATACGCTATAAAAGACTACCATGTCATCCATCATTACATGAATCAGTCATAATACGTAGTAGTTGAGGTAGTTTTCTTTCTATGAATGACTTAGTATGTATCAATATTGAAAGAAATGATACGCTAGTAGATAGTCTACAAGTTAGTGATAGCGGTTGTACATGTAGGTGTATAATAATTGATAACAACAGAACAGCTAATAAGTAACAAGAAGGTGCTGTGTAGTCGTTTTGGCTAGCCTTAAGATATATATTAAAAGAAACTGTTACTTAGTTGGATTGTGTAACCATTGATAAACTACTACGGTACTGTCGGCTAGTACTGTATATTAGAATACGTTTCGATAAGCATTATTGAATTGGATCGATATTTTCTAGCGTCCAGTTGAAATTCATGTTCAATACTGTAGGAGTCTATCGACCATTGGTCATTCCAATTCGATCCATAACTGTATACTAAGACTGAGAGTGCTACGAACTACAGGCAACAATCGATGGATCGATATTTTCTTGCAGTTGATGATTTATGTTTAATTTAATCCACACAGTCTGTCGACCATTAGTCATTCCAATTCGATTCGGTACATTGAAGGTACTAGGGAATACCGATCATTGGATGTATATTTTCTAGCAGTTGACGATGATTAATGTTCAATATTGTAGGCGTATATCGACCATCGGTTATTCCAATTCGATCCAAAACTCTACTAACGTTGACCTTGCTAGAGACTACAGGAAATTGAATCGCTATTGGCTTGCAGTTGATGACTGATTGATGTTCAATAATGTAGGCGTTGATCGACCATTGATCATTGCAATTGGATGTACAACTGTACTAATATTGGCTGTGCTAGGATGAGGAAATTATTACTGTATCCTATTTAGCGTCTAATCGATTGGATAGAAGCGCAATATAATGCAATGGATCAAGTTGAGTAGTATAGTCGTATCTGGATTTGATGTATTGGAAGAAGAGTTATGTTGCACCCCTCCATTTCAATTGTCATGAATAGAGGCATGCAATGATCCCTATCAAAGACGATGATATCACTATCCAATTGCCATAGCGACTAACATCGTTACAACTCCATAGGATGGTATTGGTGATGGACTAAAATTCTTCTATCCATAGTAGAATACAAATGTCTTTACTGCCAACTACCCAAGTCCCTCTCCCTTTCAATCCATGCCATGAGAAACGAACAAGTACTTTTGATCGTCTTTTACGGGGATTGCATTACATCGATCTTCTACTGTAATCGCATCAATGATCCTTATAATTGATTTCTGTCGTGATGAACAGTTGCATTCATTACCATGTTGTTGGTTAAAAGAGAGATGAGCAACTTTATCGCGAATTCCTTCGGACGCCATGATCGTGATCACGTCGGACTTGTTGGCTTGACGTGCAAGATGAGTTCGTACTTGAAAATGGCGTCAATGGCAGTAGTGTGTACAGTCAACAATAACATCACGTCACTCTTGTAGGGGCCGGACGTGTGCGCAGTACAGTACACTGTACTGGACCACCGATGGACAGATGGACTCTACTGCCTTGCACGCACTCTGCCGTAGGGTACTATACGCTATTCTACAAATCATACTGTACTGGACTGGGCCGGGTTACCGACGGACAGATGGAAACGACTGCCTTGCACGCACTCTACAGTACTGTATCATGTCATATCCAGTACACTGTACTGTACTGTACATATTGGACTACTGTACACTGAACTATCTGCTAGTCTACGAATCATACTATACTGTACACTATACACTGTACTAGACTGGGCTGGACCACCGACGGACAGATGGACCCGACTGTCTTGCACACACTCTACTGTATCATGTCATACAGTATCCAGTATTCCAGTACACTGTACTGTACATACTGGACTAAACTGAACTGTCTACAGTACTAGTCTACGAATCATACAGTACTGTACTGTACTGTACTGTACACTGTAATGGACCAGGTTGGACCACCGACGGACAGATGGATCCTACTGCCTTGCACGCACTCTACTGTATCATGTCATATCCTGTACACTGTACTGTACATACTGGACTATACTGAACTGTCTGCCACTGTAACCGCGGCTGTATCGTCCACCACGCTTCACGTCAAAAGCAAACCGTGTGCTCAGTTTTCCATTATTCTTAGTCAAGGAAGATGGCGGACGGTGTCGATATTGACCTCTATCCAGAGGAGTTAGATCATGATTTAGAAGGGGTAAGTTAGCTTACTTCTAGTTCAATTCGCTTATTATAACAGCTAGTATGTGTTAGAATAGTTATTGTACCGCTATCAATCAGTGTATACCATCAAATGTAGGATTTTATTCTCAGAGAACAAGAGGAAAAAAATAAAGTACAAGCTGGTTTTTCCTTACAGTTCGCTTTAAACCTTTTCCCGCTCGAACTCATGCATTGACTTTCATTGAATATTCTCCAGCTTTCTTCATTGCTTTGACCGTCTTTGCTTGTACAGATAAAGTAAAGTTAGAATTAGAACAGTATTGGATGTAGATAGTGTGGCGATAAAAAAACAGTAACCGTTCAACAGCTCTTTTTGGTGCATTGATTTTCCAGCGGATGACTTCAGCAACTCGTACAGTAGAATACTCATACAGGAACAGTAGGTAGAATACGGTGTAGGCTACTTTACCCAAAGCAATAGCTGTCTCTACTATTTATTTAGCGTTTAACTAGGCTTTGAAAAATAGCAAGAGAAAGAAAAAGCAGATTATGTGTAGTGATAATTTGCTCTTGTAATGTAGCAAGTCTTTAATTGTCTAATTAAAAAGAAATTCAACGATACGGTAGAGGACGTTCCGCCTTTCCTTTATTTCTCGCTCTGTCTACCCTTTCTTACCTTAATATCATACACCCCAGCATGACAACCATGCCAAATGATTCTACCTATGCAATCCTTCCAATTGCAAAATTGATTAGCATTCCTTGGATACCTTAATAGTGCACAAGATGCTACCAACGATAAACAATACGTAGATGCAATGCTAATAAGAGTCTTTCATGTCGGTAGGAATATGATGCTGAAGAAGATGAAGATATACAAGATGAGAACAACAATGGTGAAGATCTATATGACGACGTAATCGATGTATCCAAATTAACCGAGGATGGTAAAAATACTACCGATGTTAGCCAACTCAATGATGATGCCCAAGCAGATAGAAATGAAGAAGAGGTTTGCTATCATCCTGTGTAAAACCGTTGGGCTTACAGCGATTGATTTACCTTGCTGCTAATTGTTACTGTATAATATTGTATATATATATATTATTCGAAATCGTCATCATGCTGCTATCATAAACGATTTCAACTCTCATGTTACGCATTTACTTTGCTATCTTCATAAAGAGAAAAGTATTTTTCACTACCGTACTTGCTATATACTGGATAACTTGAGAGTTTTCTTGTGCATACCTTCTTTTTGCCATTAGTCGTGTAAATTCGATTGCTTCTTCATAGATATTGATAATGAATGAATTATAAATTATTGAAGTAAATCTGCACCAAAAAGTACTACGATGTTAACGATAATGCCTACCATTGGATCTTGAACATACGACCAGTAAAAATACGTCTTTTGCTAAAAATAAGCAAAATGTGATGTTATATATACTGTACAGTTGAATAACCTTTCCTTTATTTTTGATCTGATTTTTCGAAAATCTATCAACTGCAGTCTTTTATCGACTCTACTTGAACAACGACTCATATAAAGTGATTTCGTGCCTATTTAGTTGTACTCAAACTCTTGCCTACTGTCATACTTTCTATGTTTCACATATATACTAGCATAATAATGATACCCTTTCATCTTAACTGCCGTAACCGTTTATAAAATCAATTTATTTGTACTCTACACTGTGAGTCATGCGATAACATGATAGAGCAAATACGTGTTGAGATAGGCAGATATCTTGAATATCTAATTGCTCCTATTTGATCCTACATAACTTTGTTAAAACGAAGGAACATAATTAACAACAAAAACAAGGCTGATTAATATATTGATATTTCGAATTATAACTCATCATCAAAATAGTATTATTATTATTTTATTATAGCATTTTTTTAATGGTTGGATTTTTTGTTATGTAACGGGTTAAATGTTCGTTTCAAAATCTTGTTTTTTAATTTTTTAAATAATATTTTTATTACTATGGATGTTTTATATAATGATTTAAAACAAAATGCATCCCCTCAATTGATAAAACTGCTACATCTTGTGAACGACCGAAAAAGTAGACCAGTAAATTAATATCTTATCATGGCATGGTATCAATCTTGATGTCGTGCAAGAGGAGCGATTCACCAATTGGTAACATTACAGATCGAATTATCAGAAAATTGGGACATCATCGCCATAGCAATGAAAAATTTTGGCTATGGATTCTTCAATGAAAGTCACGTTGTATATAATTGTGCAGATTAATTATAATGACTATCATAATTATCTGTGATATCTTTCTATCCTTTGGTTGTAGTAGTTGCAGTACCATACCTCATTGTAATCTTGCAAATATTTGTCTCGTACTTTTCATCTGCTTTTCAGTTTTTATTCGTTAAAGTAATTCGTACTGTGCCGTATCTATGCATATACTGTATACTGTACGATGGTTGATATGCTGCTTTTGAAATCGGTATTTACGACTTTAC